TATCCATGCAGACAGTTTTTTTCGCCGGATGTTTGTTCCACGTCACTCAAATGATTCAGAGGTGCTGATTTTTCTATTGTGATTTCACATATATTAAATATTTCCCATTAGAACCGAACTTCTTCCGAAACAACACCACACACGTCAACATGATCAATACTGATCAACACTTGTTGCGTGCGTTCAGACTTGTCTACACAAGCGTATCGCTGGCATGTGCCCGCTGCGAAAGGTAGAAGAGAAATGGTTTTTCGGGGCATTGCGATGCACGAGAATAAGCGATGTGGAACCAAGAGAACGCTGAATGGATTTGGAGATGAACAGCACATGAGCGTCTTGACATTTTTTGGATTTTGTCCATGGACCGGCCATGAACCGGCTATGACCCAATGACCGAGGCCATGCCCTTGGGCCATGGCCCAGGCGATGGCCCGGCCATGGCCCGGTCATGACCTAAGACCATGGCCGGTTCATGGCCGGTCCTGACCGGTCAATGGCTGGATCATGGCTGGATCATGGGTTATGACCGGTCCATGGCTGGATCATGGCCGGTCCATGGCCGGTCCATGGCCGAGTCAAGGACGGGCCATGGACGATCTATAGCCGGGTTATGAACTAGCAATGGCCGGGTGGTGGACGGTCTATTGGTGGTTCATGGACGGTCCATCGACGGCCCATGGCCGGGTCATGGCCGGGTCATGGGTGGGATTGTCAGAGCATATGCCATGTGATCAGCATTATGATCCGGCTGGTTAAGGCTCGCTGGCCAGCTCTCTCTCACTGTACGCTGGCAGTCCTGTTAGGAACGTGTCACACAGCATGTGGTCTCTGCTCTACTAAAAACTTCACGTGTCTACTAGCTACTGACCAGCTACGTGACAACGTACAAACGCAATCTTTTTTTATCGCTTGGGTAGGGCTTCTGCTGTCTCGTAGCCAACAGTGACCACAGAAGGGATAGAACCTGGCTACTGCTGTCTACATGGACGCACACGCAAACACTCCCGATACGACCTCTCGATGGACGAAACCTACTGTAGACCATAAAATGATGCGATTCAAGAACCAAATGCTTTGCGCTCGACCGACCCTTCGGAATGTTCGTTCCGAAAATGAATTGCCTACAATACATTGGTATTGCGCTCTCTGGTGTGCCGGCAGTGGAGGACTGTGCGAATTGACGTGATCTTTTTGGCACCGCCGTCGTCGTACCGATCGACCTAGAACGGAACAAAGAGATTCGAGATCGTCTTCTCCAGGTCCACGAGATTCAAGGTCATCTTCTCTTTGTCAAAGATCAAGACTCTCCTTCACTACTAGGTCCAGTCGATGCGGACCAACCAGGAAGTGAGGAGCAGAACAGTGTGTAGAAACAGTATGCCCGTTCGCCCGTGCTGCGAGCATAGTCGTGTACCGCGGTCGATGCTTGGAGGGTGTTCCGTCCGGCCGTCCTCACCTGTTCTGTAAATTCGATATGAATACTTGGCTATGGGCGCACATATTCGGAGGGCGAAGGCTGACATGATCGGGGATTAGACCAATATGTTGCCTCGATCTAGCCTACTGCCTACTGGAGAGGTTCGGGATAATGGTTCCCTGACCCCTGGGGCAAACAAATCCTCTTGGCGGTTGCCCGATCATCACCCAGGTGCAAAAATTGACACTGCCCTCGAAGGAAAAGATCGATTGAGCCATATCCTGGTGTCATTGCCCACCACGTGCGAATTCCTGTGAGTGCTGAACCTAATATGCCGATATCGAGCTTTTGGGCATGCCATGTGACTGCTGTTAGATATCGCCAACTCGCCTTGTAGAGCCGTGACACTGCATGAATGATCTACGAATAGACATCGACTCCACAGATGTAGTTACCGGTGAGACGTACCTAGCCTGATTAATGCAGAGATAAAAATAGCTTGTCTGCTACACTCGTCATTGTCTGGGCTAGGGCGTATGGAGTTGTATGGTGTTTGACATCAAAAAGGTTCGTTACTCCTTTGATAAGCACCCAACAGATGAAGCCGCTGTTATTTTGCTACGACGGGTGATCAATCCATCTTCGGCAACACCACAACGCGCAGCCTTGATGTAGCCATAAATCGTGCTTTACTATGTGAAGAACCTGTCGGGCTCACAGTTCCTCGGGAACTGATTAATAAGACCAACAGAAGCGTAGGTACGCATACTTGATCGTGATAGCTCTTGCTGTTGCATAATGCAAGGCGTGTATTCTTTCTACAAGTAAATTGGAAAACTATTTTGCCTTCCCTTCCCTATGAGCATTCACGGCGTTCAGCGGGCGACCTTGCCCTCTGTAACATGTTGGTGCGACCCCAGGGACTCGATGCTTTCTTTCCGCGGCCCCCAAATGGTGACGACTCTCCGCCGCCCAAGACGACCTCACACGGCGGTGAAGATCTCTACAAGCAGCACGGGGGCAGCACGGGGGCCGCAGCCAGAGAGGGGGGCAACAACGCGTTTTCTTTAACATTGCGCTACCACCGACGCGGTGAGAAACTGATCCTGGACTCTTCAGCCGTGGGGAAGAGTTCGGGGAGAACCAAGTTGGGAAAAAGTCATGTTCTTTTTTAGACTATATATCGTGAGCCATGAACAACGACTACTGATCATTGACGAACCTTGGAGTCAGGGGGGGCTGGCCGGGATTGCCGGAGACACGAGCGTTTTCGTCTGGGATAAATTGCAAAACGCCATAAATGCGCCCGGGGTTGCTGGGAAGGTATTTTCGGAATGCCTACAGTCGCTTGGACGCCGCAATATTGGGTCGTTCAGAGAGGAAGCCAGGATCAACTTCGGGGAGATGTCTCCGAGCTTGGACTACACATACAGAAGAGAACCGCTTGAGGGTTGCTGGAACGACACATTCCGGGACGCCTACAGTGCTGCCGTTTGGACGTCGGGACATCGGGTCGCTTCGACACAAGAAGACGAGATCAGCCGTCGGTGGAGCTGCCTCCAAGTTTGGACCGCCAAACAACATTCGAATCGCTGCTGTACACACCGACGGCCGATTTCACCTCCTTTTCTTTGTGATCCAACCATCCTCGTAACCGCCGATACCTTGTGCCTCTCGACGCCGTTGTGTTGGCCGACAACGAAATTCCGATACTGTGCCGACAAAGCTGTCAAGTTGCAACACCAGTACTCCTCTGTCCTTGACCTCCGCAACCCTTGAAGTCATTGTCCGTCGAATACATGGCAGCCTTCGATGAGTCGCTCATCTCGTACTTGGAAGCATGTGATGAGTCGTTGATGACTCACCACATTCGATCGTGCCATCCATCAGCAGGGTGTGATCACAAGTGGTCTCCTATAACAGTCCACAGCAGTATGTAGTGGAACGTCTCGAAACCCCGGCACCGATGGATATAAACAACCGGTCTCACGGCGGTTGTCGTAGTAGACTGTAGTCGCTCCAGCTCGCAACAATTTGATTGGTTCTTCTCAAGTTCCGCTTCGAGGCTTGATGTCTTTATGGCTTTATGGTGTGATATTTGTGTTCCGAATTTCTGCGATCGTGCAGATCAAAGATCAAAGATCAAAATAGAGATGGATTCGTTGTGTCAGGGGAGATGTCCCTATATGCTGTCTGGGAAACCGTAGACATACAGGTACTTTCTGACGCTATGAATTCATTGCTAATCTATCTCACTCTTTTCTATGATAGAGATGTATTCGTTGTGTTATATTAAGAAAAAAAAAAAAGGGCCGTTCAAGGAGCAGCAGTCGGTGTGGCAGCTCAGGGTATATTATAGGGGCATGTCTTGGACTCGCCGTGGTGTACATCGCTGGCTGTGCTGGGAGTTGAAGCTGCGCTCACTTGGTGATAAGCTTTCAGTGGTAGCGCGTCGGGCTGAGCCGCTCTGGAGAGCTCACCCTGGTGCCTGGTGCTCGCTGTAGGAAGCAGCCAGCCTCTCTTTGGTTCGGGGTGTACAAACTTCCTCCGCGAATAACACTACTAAAATAATACTTTTTTCAAACAATTTAAATTTGTAGTCGACGTCCCATGGCTAAATTTAGAAGCCCATCTGGGGGGTGGATATGAGAGTACCGCTCGCCTGCTGTGTGTTGCTGTGTGTTGCTGTGTGCTGTGCGTAGATCCACCACACACTCCTATCGATTGTGTGTCGATCGGACTTGAAGGGCGAGATTCAAGTGGCAGGCCTTACCTGTGGGCCGCAAGTCTGTGCGAAGCGAATTTCATCGGTAAAATATCGGGCAGGCGGCCTTTTTCGTGCGGCCCTCCTACTGCTGTAATTGTACAACAGCAGTGTGTCAAATTGCACGCTACCAGTAGGTATCGTACCGTTCAGCTCATCATCCTGATAAAAGCCCATAACACCAGCCGCGAAGCGTCTGGGGACGGCAGACAGCGTGCAGCATGCGACATTTCCCCCACTCCCCCACCTTTCCAGTCGTTGGCTACGACCGCATAATAAGAAAGTTCAAATATTTTTCTTGCCATGCGTTGGCATCCTGATGTGGTCGCCAGAAAGGCGGACTCTCGGAAGAGACGAATGTATGTATGGTTTCTCATTCTTCTATCATAGGTATCATATAGAATCAAAGAAGCAAGCCGTTGAGGAGCAAAGCTGCTGATGATGTGCGTGGCCACAACACCGTCATAACGTCATAACTACCCCCTCGCCATTTCCACTTACTCCCCTCTCTCTCTCTTCTCGGAAACAATCCAGAACTGTGCAGCATCGTAGAGGGAAGTGTACGGGTGCCGCACGTAGTCTAGATACAGCAGGTGAGTCCCTGCGGTTCGTCGTGTGGTATAAACCCTAGCATTCTGTCCGCCCATAGGAGGTCGTAAGCTTTCCACAAGGCGAACCGCCGAACCAGCAATCTACCTGCAGGAATGGTTGGCGACGCTGAGTAGACTACCGCGGCCAGAGCAAACGGGTAGGCCTGCCTGTAGGTATCGACCGACGCGGCGTTCACGAGGTGCCTGCTCAGGAAAGCTATCGTGGCGAATGATCGTGTGGCTACGACCACAACAACGTGCCAACTTCCGGTGCATTTATTTCGACTGCGGTGTGTTGCGAGAGGAGTCTGGTAGTCTAGACTATGCTGAGAGATGGATGGGTATCATTCCTAGCACTCCCAAGGGACCGACCGAGCGTTTCGTGCGGGCATTTCGTGTTGGAGATTCTGTGGCATTCTGTGGCCGCCATTACACCTCACATCCTGAACATCTCCGGTAATTCCTACAGAGTACGGAGTTTGCTTTGGGTAGAAAGCAAAGTCAGTTTTCCAGAGTCAGTCTTGTTGTTGTGGTGTTGGTGGCGGAAAGGAGTGTAGGATTCCATATATATTCGTATATAAACTATACTGCTGTATGCGCGTACATGTCCTTGCGCTCTGGTTGACGTAACTCTTCGTGCTGGCCAGACATCTTCTTGTTGGGCACGCAATCGGCCCAGGCCTGCGATCGATTCCGAACAACCTTGTAGGGCTTTGCTTGTTGTTTGGGGAACGTTGGAGCTGTTTGCGAGGTGTCTAAACGTAGCGTGCAAACTTTTGGTATCCTGCGCGTCCTCTACAAGTACTTCGTACGGCGGTACTGGTGTGCCTTACAATTGCTTCAGCCTCAAGTCACCTGGTTTGCCACAACAACAAGAATTCTGTTCTTGTTTTCCCAAACACATACATGCTGCGTGCTGCTTACTCCACAGCTCACCAAACACGGGACCCAATACACGTACATGTACTCTAGTAGCCCCCATCCTCCTACACACCTGCACTGAGCACGAGATAAGAACTCGATTGCCGTACATATTCGCTTCTCTAGTTGTTGTGTGTGTGTTGTGCTATTTTTGACAAGCAGTGAAAACTGGTTTTCAGCGGCTCCTGTGTGGCCCACGGGCCACACCCTAGCCCGACACCCATCTATTACGTGCGGGCTATGTATAAGGTGGTTCGGAACGTATTGGTCTCTCGAAACGTCGAGTAAAACGGCCACAGCTGTTAGTTGTACTTGAAGCATCCAGGGTGGGAGTAGAGTGCATGCGATGGCTAAATTTGCGCTTGCATCACTTCATGTACAGGTTACCCCGATGCGTTATTTTCAAAATAGTCAATATTGCGTGTGTGTTTTCATCCTATTAGTACTTCTATTTATTACGACGACAATAGCAGTCCCCCCATTTTTGTGGTGAGACATGTACGAGACTTTTCAGTGTAGGTTCATACAACTACAACTATGTCCAGGGTCACACAGGAAGGAAGGGGTAACACCGGGTGGGGCTTTTTTCTTTATTTCTTGTTATTTTCGTTCCCCACCGTCCTGCGGTGCGTGCTGAATTCCATTTTTTATCACGAGAAGGGTCAAGCCGTCCCCTTCTCTCGTCAACGGTGCTAACGTCGAAGTGTGGTTATATCTCGAATGGGTAGTCTTTTTGTGTTTGTATTTATTTTTCCAAAGAAGTTTGGTGCTCACGAGAATTTACAGCTAATTTTTTTGCTTCACCCGCAAAAAGTTGTCAAGTTTTCATCCCATGGGTATTCGAGCTTACGACTTTGCCACTACGTTATGGACTATGGTATTTGGGCCCTTGGCGGTTTCGAGGTTACCACTATTTATTGTAGACCACTGGGGCGACCTGTCAATATGCGTATGTCGATATTCGGATTTCACAAGTACAGCAGTACGGGGGCCTCAATAAGGCTTTATTGAGGGCACCCGGCCTTATATAGAATCGGCCCTGTATAAGGCCGGTACCGGTCTTATAGAAGACCCGTGCGCCTACCATACGGGGCCGACGATGCTTTTTTATCGGTTCTTTGCTATCACGTTTCCCATCCAACCTTTCTTCGTCTCTCAGGTACATGTCTAATCGGCAAGAAATAATTCTTCCAGCAGACATCAGACAGATCCTCCCGTTTCGCAGAAAATAAAGGACACAAGTCCGTACGCATTTGTGTGATCTACAGGCAAACACCTGAGACGATACCATAACGTATAGGTCAAGGCCATATATCAACAGATTTTCAGCGTTCTCGGAAGTCACGCACGAAGAGTGGGGTAAATGGGCACAAAATACTCTCATATCATGATGGTAACCGTCTCGGTATGGTCGCTTCCAACTGTAACCGTTTCGTGTCTCACGAGGCCAATCTCTCTCTCTCTCTCTCTCTCTCTCTCTCTCTCTCTCTCTCTCTCTCTCTCTCTCTCTCTCTCTCTCTCTCTATCTATCTCTCTATCTCTCTCTCTCTCTATCTCTCTCTATCTCTCTCTCTCTCTCTCTCTCTCTCTCACACACACACACACATCGTACATACCTCGAGAGGGAGAGAAATTCATCCGGGATTCAGTTAAACAGTAGAGAGTGAATTTCCCGCCAATCTCAACCCACCAGCGTCAGTAAGCCCTTTGCAAAGAGGTTACCCGTCCTGAGGCCAACGTTTGCTCAACACAACATGCGGCTCACAAAACGTTTATTCGCGAGTAACGGACATCACAGACAGTGTCGACCGGGGAACGATCCCGATGTGTTTGTGCGAGCAGTGCAGTGTGAAGAATACTTAGAGAGAGCTGGCCTGATATTCGTGTCATGCCTTGTTTGTAAGCTCAAAAGCGTGCTTGGTTAAAAAACTAATCGACGGATACCCCGCGAATCGGGTCCTCGTTAACACTCTCCACCCACAGAATTTACCCTCAACTTGGAACCGTCTTTGTGGCCAGGACTGGAAATTCGATGGAAGTGCCACAGATTCTTATGGGAAAAATGTCCAAGTCAGGAGAAAAATGTGCACCCAAGGAGATTAGAACCAATATCCTGCAGACGCCGTACGCGAAGGTGAACCGGTTGTGGGGAACGTCAATCGACGGATACCCTGCAAATCGAGTCCTCCTTGACATGTACATCCCATGCTCGTTACTCCTTTAGAATGCCTTTTTGTGGCTTAGAGCTTTGTGTGACGAACGCTTATGTAGGGTCAGGCAGATTAAATACTGCTGTAGCCCACTATCAACGCGCCGGCTGGTGCAGGCAGCAAGCTTTAAGCGAGCATGTGTGGGATGTGGGGTGCGCTCTCTGCTCTACCTCAACCAACGAATTGGGAAGATCCAGTCTATTGGCCGAAATTTCTGCAGTGACATCCTCCCCTATGCTTGTCTGTGTACTGTAGATTTTTCACACCACAAAAAAGTCCTTGTGGGATGTGCTCTCTGATATCCGTCCTAGCATTCCCAAGGGACCGACCGAGCCTTCTCTTTCGTGTTTGAGCTTCTTCTTCGGCCGTTACACCTAACACCCGTGAACATCTTCTGCGAATACTTCCAAGTTCCGTGACACCTACGCAATCCTTTTGTGAGTTCTGTGACGCTTCCAAAAAGCTGTACCCGATAGGTCGGTGAGTTCCGCAACGAAATGAGAAGTGTTATTGAGAAACGTGCCCACCCAAAGAAAATAGGGAAAATAATTGTTGTTCTGTACGGCGCTGCTCACAACCCCGATGTTTATTGTTTTCATATTTGCTGTTAGTTCTGTGACACCCCAATATCCTATGCGACACTTTCATGAGTTGTGTGCCAATTCCATTACCCTACCCGAAAGCACAGTTCCTAAAACATTATGTACCAGCTGGCAAGTTCGAATTTTTCACTCCGAGATGTGCGTACAGCTAGCTTTTTCACTCTATTACCTCTAGTTTTGGCCGAGGCTGGGGTTCTTGGTTGCTCTTGTAGGCTACTAATGGCCCACACAGATACTCAGTATCGTGTAGGGATTCTTTAAAGCTCACAAATGGTGTTCAATTTCTTGCGTTCTACACAACAATGTTGAGCACATGAATTTACGTAGCACCCAATGTCTGTATACGTGCGGGCGATGTCTGTGTTTGCACACAACCCAGATTAAGATGGTTGGCTCCCAACAGGCGATGAAATATTGACGATCAGCAACGCTTTAGTCCAAGCGACCTTGCTTTCACCAAACGAATCGTGGTACTGCTCTGTTTGGAACAATCCGGAGCAAAGAGAATGTGCAGTCCCCCACCCACAACTATATAGAGGCCGCGCGGAATCTCCCACATTCGCCTGCCCTGGTGTAAGTCGTGCATCCTTATACGTTGTTCTGGACAAGGAAGTAGGCGAACATTATTCTCCATGAGGCCCGGAGCAGACCCGTCCAGAAGGAAGGTCTCTCGTCGGATTTGGGAGCAGCTGGGGGGCTCCAACGAACGGACCGATACCTCCGTTGTTGACCAGCGGGTTCACGACCGAGGGCAGTAGGACCGACTTGATGACAGCAAAACAACCCACTGACAGCAGCAGCAGCTGTAGAACAACCATCGTCGGAGAAGACGATCTCTTTCGCGGACCAGGGTCGTCGTGGTAGTGGACGATGGAATAGACATTCGGCCTGTGTCGGTCCAGAATCTTGCTCATGCGTCTTCACGATTTCTTCCAGACAGAACAAGCCGCCCACAGGAAGGAAACTTGTACTGGGAATGTCGCGATCTAAACTGGGACACAAGACAAGGGGGTAGCTCGAAGACAAAATTATCTCGCCTTGAACTCGGGCCGATTCTCGAACGGCTACACCATACGCATCGCGCATTCACAGCCATTCCTCTAACGCTGTTGATTTAGAGTGCCCAATTTTCATCGAGTTCGGGATGTGGAGTGCTGCCGGCCCAAGTTAAGTATCCCAAGAGGATGGAGAAGGTCAATCCAATGCCCCCCACAGAGAAAAGCGACGTCACCACGACGAATGCCCAGTGATCTGTTCAGCCTTAAGGCTTAAGGCACGCGATCGGATATCGGTACGTCGTCTTCTTTACCACGATACGGGGGAGATTTGGTCGTGAAATTGTTGCAAGACATTCTGCGAAAGGGGCTGGCAAGTAGAAACGTACCCCTGTCGTCCGCGCAACGTGGGTACTGCAGGCGCAAGTCTGCAACACGAAACCGAAACGCGACGTTTGGAGTGTTTTCTCGGCAGATCCTTAAGCTGAACTCCGATGACGTTGCCCTACATCTTATCGCGGTTGTGTTCTCAAAATTATTGCATGAGTGAGAATGGGTATGGGACAACAGGAAATCCCTTTTACCAAGAAGATATTTAGCAAGTTGACAACTTTTTGAGGTCGTGCACCCCCTCTTCACTGTACTTCCAAACGGGGGCGAGTACCAACGCAAAGTTTTCGCAGACTCTGTTTCCCTGGCGGCGTACAAACAACGGTGGGCTTCTACGGTAGTTCACGACAATGCTGTCACCCCATCTCCTTTTAGCATCAGTTGTACATCATTTACGGTTGGACTCACCATCAATCGGGGGTAAAATTAGGCGAAAGCCACACTCGAGAGCCAATCTACGTAGTTTCTTCACATTGCACGTGGCGTCTCCCCTTTTCGTCGATCACCACGTCATTATTTTACAGAGATCCACACCTAACATCGTTTTTCATTTTTTGGGCACGTGCTGAGTACAAACTCCACTTTTTGCCTGACTGCACCGAGAACCCAACTCATGCCAACACTCGAAGAGGTTCAACGGTGGCACGTGACCGTTACCAACTGAACCCCCGCGGGGCGACCGGCACCGCTGAGATGAGGCATGACAAGAACGAAGTGTTAATAATGTTAACTTCGTTGCTCATTGGTTTCCCTTCTTTTGCGCATGTGGTGACCTAGCGTAACGATTCCATGCAATCCTCGGTGCCCCAATGGCACCACGTACGGGTGGTGCTAGTCACTCATACCGGCACCAGAGCAGCTAGTTGATTGATAAAATTCGGCGGTACGCGAGAAAAGTTATGGCACCGCCAACAACTCGCGATAGAAGCTTGGTGAGTTCCTGTCATGTGCCTGACACACCTGCCTTTAATCCTGTCGTTTTCCGGCCTCGTTCGTGCCCGGTCTCAATTTGGCCAGGATAAGAGCAAACACCATGCGGGGAGAACATGTCGGAACAGTCGGCACGACCCTTCTTCTCGTCGGGGGGTTCGTGGCCAAGGCGGGTGCCGCAGGCTCGTTTGACCCGATGATGCACATGATGCGAAACCTGTTCACCACCACCTACACCGATGGAGATGCCTGCCCTAATGAAGATGATGCCTGCGTTGCTTCAGCCAGTTGTCTGGCTTGCAACGAAGCCTACATGGCCGCTTTTTCGGATTGCGCTGCTTCGTTGACCAGCACCTCCACGTGCGATGACCTTGCCGAAGCCATGTGCTGTGCGGCGGAAGGCTGCGAGGACAACGAGGAATTTGCCGACATCATGGGTACGTGCACGACAATTGCCTCTCCTCCGTGTTTTCGGCAACGAGAACTCCGTGATAAGAAAAGATAAATAGTTCAAACTTGCATTGTTCGTACGCAGCAGCATTGGTTTCAAGCCACGTCGCTATTTTTCGGTGATACTTTCTCGGCTCTTCTGTGAAATGGCTTCAGTGACAAGCAATGCGTGGTCTATACGGTTTCGCGTTCTTCAACAAGATGGGTCGCGACGTACAGGTTGTGACTCGTGCAGTGCACCTATCTCACGTTTAGCGCTTCTACCCCGCTTGGTATTTCGTCGGGCAGGCTGCATTAATGGGGACCTTGGTTGCGGAGTCATCGACATTGGTGATTGTGCAGGAGGCGGCAGCACGGCTATTTCCGGCTCCGACACCACGACGGACTCCACATCCACAACCGAGACAGACTGCCCCACCGAAATCTCGGCGTGTAACGCGGATGACGAGTGCGTAACATGCACCCAGTCGTATGTTGACGCCGTGGAGGGATGCTTTGCTTCAGCGACTGGTTCCACGTGCGACGATGTTGAAGAATCTGTTTGCTGTGCGGTGGATGGCTGTGAGGACAACGAAGCGCTCAATGATCTCTTAGGTGCGTTCCTGGTTGGTTGACTTGTGTCTGCAGAAATCTCTGGGATAGAGACGGCGTATGTCAAATGCGCGACCCGTTACACTTGTAGAGCCTTCGACCTGTTCGCGTGATCGTGACATTGTATTGCGACCGGTTTCCGGCGTAGATCGGAGCGGGCCAGAAATGGATGCCAGTACCCCTTCGTAGCAGTGCTGGCGTTTTACTGATGTCTCGCTATATGTACAACCGTTGTGCGAACACCATGATGTTGCAACTGTTTGACGAATGCCGTTTTCTTCGCTCGCCACACTCGCGCTACTTGTCCACCGGCCAGCCTGCATCAATGCGGAATCTACATGCTCCATCGATATTGGGGATTGCGAAGCGGACGGCAGCAGGGCCATTTCCGGCTCCGACACCACCACCGAAACCGATGGTACCGTCAGCGATACTACCACCGACACCGATGGCACCGCCAGCGATACTACCTCCGAAACCGATGGTTCCGCCAGCGATACTATCACCGACACCGATGGTTCCGCCGCTGACGACGGCGACGACACCAGCGACGCCATCCCTTTCCCCGTTGGAGACGACGAGGAAGATGATGAAGACTCTGATGCAGATGCGGACGCGGCCGACACCGAGTCATCCGCCACTTCCGTTGCGGCAATGGGAGGTTCCACGGCTGTCTGGCTGATTGCCGCCGCTGCACCCGGCCTGTGGGGCCGGTTCCAGTAACCCAAGCCTACCATTTTCGCCAACGTGGCGGGATGTAGTTGTAGACAACTCGAAACATTCGTCCTGCTCCCTTACAGCAGTAGGCAGTTCGAGGATTGTTTGTACAAGTACGTACAAGTCTAGTGCTGTCTACACATCGTCTAGACACGAAACAGCAGGCCATATACTATACGCGACACGTTCAGTCCATGGCCGCTGTTCCTGTGGACGGTTTTGTCCACCACAAGTGTTTTCGATTTTGAAGAGAATGCTTGCGTCGTATGCTTTGTTTGTAGTCGTCAAGAAGAACATCAATATTCAGTCCGCCGAGAACGTGTACAATATGTAGTCTAGGTGTGACGAAATACAGAGAAATTGAGCCTTATGTCTTGACCCGAACCATCGATGTGTCTTATCTCCGGACCCTGCCTACACTGTTGCTGCTACACCAACTAGACAGCAGTAGCCGTGCTGCTGCGTTGTTTCTGTTTCGTAAGCGTAGTACTGCTGTGTGTATAGTGTTGCTGCTTCACAGCAAGTGTGTGTACACACACAGCAAGAAGTTGTGCTGCTTGCTGCGTTCTGACCCGCGTAAGAAAGTTCGAAGAAAAAATTCGTGTGATGCGGTGACGTGGTGTGACATGGTCGCCAGGAGGTGAGAAATTGCCCGCCAGGAGCAAGTTGTCGTGCAACAAGTTTTTCTTGTTGTTAGTATCAAATCCAAACGTAACTTTGTAGTTACATGCGCACAGAACATCTACTACCTCATTGCTTACCGCTCCTCTCTCGAACAAGAATCGCGCACGCAGTATCAGGACTGCGCGTCAACGCAGGAAAGTTCACGGGTGACGCATAGACAGGCGAGTGAGTACAGAGGCTGGTTGCGGTATAACCCTGGCATTTTATTATTCCTTAAATCCCCTGCCATGGACTGGTGGGCCGCCAAAACCAGCAACCTACAAAAGCATACGAACACTCTCTGTCTACCATGGTTGGCGGTAGTGGCGCTGTTGAGTCTATACATAAGAGATTAGACGATCAGTAGTGAGCACATGGGTTGTGGCCGTAGCTACCGACGCACCTAGCTCACAAGAAGCCTAGACTTTCACAAAGGCTGGTGCTGTGTGGCTGCTGTACATGTATTGATCGAAACACACGGCACACGCCCTCCGATCTCCCATGAATTTTCGTCGTTACCAACAACTTGCACCAACGGAACTTGTCCTCCTCCCTATTGATGGGCCATCGAACGCCTTTCTTTCTTTCATGATCGAGAGTCTGTGGCCCACCTGGCTGGCCTGACACCTCACACCCTATGTAGAGCACTGGGTCCTGTAGATGATCTCCAGCAATTTTCCTATACCACAAGCAGCAGCCAGGGGTGACACTGAACCGGATGACCGATGAAAAAAAATGATTCTTCTACTCTGTACGTACACGGCGGTGAAGACCGTGATCTCGGACCCCGTGAGGGGGCGACATGGGGGAGCCTATGCTACATACTCTGCTGATACAAGACAGAAACGCTACATGGTACAGCAGTGTGAAGTGGTCCCGGTATATTCTGCAGGTCGAATAGTGCCAGTCGCCCAAGCTCGCCTGGTATGACGCCGATGAAATCGGGTGGCACGACTGGAGGTCGGCATTCTGCAAAAAAAGCAGTGAGTGGTAGTCCCGGTATACCGCCGTGGTCGGCCCCGAGTAGTGCGAGTCCCGATACACCGCTGTAAATCGCTTGTCACTGGATTTGGCAACTAAAAAACTAAAAGCTATATATTCCCAACACACTCAATCAATAGTGCCTTGGTCCCGCGGTGATATTTGCCTGTCACTACAACAACACCGCCGTATATATATGGGGACCACCAGACACTGCTGTACAGGCATCATGTTATATATGTACTCACAGGATGGTCGTCGTGACGTGATACGTTTCTTGTTATTAGTATGGAAAAAAATAAAAAAAAGATGGCTCGATTTTTGAATTTCTACAGCAGTACGGACCAGACGCCGACTTCACATGGAAGTCGTACGAGTGTCGACTTAGTTGTGCTGTCACAGCATCTTGCACGCACTTCTGCCAGTGCTGGTTCGTTGATTGGAGTCTTGTAGGCCGAGATACAGCAGTGGGATTCTCGGGTTGTGGAGGCAAAAGTGAACCAGAGCAAAAATTTTCATGCATAGCTCGATTACTGCTGCTGTGTTTTTGCTACAGCAGTATGGACTAGACGCCGAACGACGTCCGCGTGCTACAAGTACCGCAACGACCTAACGGGATGGGATACTTCCTGCCACGGCGAACCATAGTACAATGCGATGCAAACATCCGTTCGTGTGTCGCGCGGCTGCCACATGTGTCGACGACAGGTACACGTAGAGCTTTCGCCATGTTGTTGTCGTTACCGCGCAGGAGGACCCCTCGGAGATGTTCCACATGGTGCTACAACGACAGCAGCTACTGTACATAGATGTCATAGGAGAGTGGAGTTGTGCTGTCACGGCATCTCCCACGCACTCTCCTACCGGTGCTTGTGTCGATTGGAGTCTTGTAGGCCGAAATACAAGAGTGGGTTGGACTCCCGGGTTGTGGAAGCAAACCTGCCTGCAACAACAGAGAGCGGTGTTCTATTTACTATAATACAGTAGAGTATCCCGCTCACCTTTTTTTTTTTTCGCGGCATGTGGTCGCATATTTCGTTGCCACTGCCGAAAAAGACCGCTGGATCTTTACGCAGTCCACCTTTTGCATTTATCATTTTACACTGAACGACGCAGAACGGGTCGACCTTCATCGTTGTTGTTGTTGCTGTTGTCTCCACATTAAAAACCGTTCCGACGTCTTCCTCGATACTTGTGTACTACCTGTTGGAAATTGTGGGAATCTCTTCATTCTGAGAGAGAGAGCCATAGGTCGCCATCTGACCTTTTCTTTTTTTGTATCTTTTTTTCTTCTTGTGAAGTTTTGACGTTGCGCTTGCCATCGTCGCCGCATAAGTGTTTGTGTCTTCAAACCTTCTCAGCCGGCCTTCAAACTTCTTGTTGATAATTCTCCGTGTGGTAACTTCTCCGCGCATGAGTCATATGCAGCTATGACCTGCGCTTTGACTTTCACGATGGGTATTTTACCTCCCCGTCTTGCGTTGGTGAGTTCCTGCGATATACAGAAGGATCGCTCCACGACGCAAACAAACGTCGACGTCTCCGTTTTTTGTTTTGTTCCCTTCGCACTCCATCCTTGCGGCGGTTTTCACACCGACTTCGAACGAACGTGGGGTGCAATTTCCTCTCTTCGTGTACCTTCCTCGTCGGCCTTCTCCGTCGTTGGTTGTGTACATAATGTATACCTCGATTTTTTTGCTTTTCGATTCCGATAGACAAGACTACGGACTGACATGTTCCTTTCACCCCCGACGGGACCGCGCGCTCGTCGAGTGCCGAAATTCTTCATCACTTCCTTGCCTCTCCCAACACCGTCTCTTCTTCCCGCCCTTACAAATCCTCTCCCCTTCTTCTTCTTCTTTCCTTCCTCCCGGTCACTCACCACCATCCGTCCTGGATGTTGGCCCCCAGCCCCATTGGGGGGCGGGGGGCCAATCCTTAACCCTAGTACTTACTTTAGTACTTACTTCAGGTGCCTCGTGTGTGGTTCAGTTATCGACACTACTTGGAATTTCACGTTGGACGTCCAATGGACGTCCCCTGGGAAACCAATCTTTGCAACCAACCTCAACAACACACACAACACACAGTGACAACGTCGCGGCCGTATACAGAAGGCCAAGATGGCGATGATCGCAGCGCATGCCTCAGGCAGACATATCTGGTTGCTTTCACAAAAACTCTGATGGAAACGGTGCCTGCCGCAGAGCAATGCTGCTTACAGTATATATTGGATTTGGTTCATTCTACCAGAAGTGACGAAAAGCCCCAAATGTAAAAGAGTGATGAGCTACGGCCCAACGATGCACGCGCGTCTGAATGATGCTCGATAGCGGCATGCCTACCAAAACTCCTAACACAGCATCCAGTTTCTTCTCCATCACGTGAAGTTGGTGGGGCGATATGTATGCTGGCGTATGATTAGTCTACGTTTGTTTTCGTCCTGAATCGGTTGGTTCGTTGGAGGCACCCAGCTGCTGCCAAATACGACGAGACCTCCTTCCGGACGGGTCTGCTCCCGGGCACCCAGAAATTTGTACAAGGAACGCTTGCTTATGAATGCCAAATTGCAGGGTTGACGGGATGTGGGAGTCAATCATACAAAACAACGTGAAGATGTGGGAGTCAGTCCGCTCACAGCATTTCTGCCGCGTCGGAGCTCCAATCCGTGGTTACACAAAAGTTCCTTCCCCTGAGGCCACCTACCAACTTCTCCCGCGGTGCGTGCCTTCGATGTTTCACTCGAGAAGAGTGCAGCACTTGGTCGATAAAGGCTAAACCATTAGACTACTCAGTCAGGGCTGTGATGGTTTGTTGGCTGAAGAGTCTAATGGTTGAGCCGTTGTCGATCAAACAATGTGTCCTTGGACTCTTGGCCTCCCAACTGCGAACAACAGTATTTGCGGGGCCGAACCCCAACTTGCCGTAGACCCCTACAATTCTCAGCGTAGACTAATGGTTTAGCCTACATCGATCAGCACTCTCTTCCCTCAACATGTGCTCACGAACTACTGCATGCAGTAGCGCTTTCCACATCCAGGAAGGGAAGCGAGAGGAAAACTCACTTCGCAAGAAAAGCTCGCTTTTGCCGCTTTTGCCAGGATTCGAACCATTCCCTGGAAGGTTGCGAGGATACCAACTATAAATAGATCACCGAGGCGATCGTAGGAAGTGCACCAACCATAGACGAGCCATAACAAGAACGAAATGTTGAAATGTTGATATCTAACGTTCCTCATTGGCTTCCCTTTTGCACGTGTGGTGACCTAGGGTAACGATTCCATGCAATCCTCGGTGCCCCAATGGCACCACGTATGGGTGGTGCTAGTCACTTGGACCGGCACCAGAGCAGCTAGTTGATTGATAAAATCGGCGGTACGCGAGAAAAATTATGGCACCGCCAACATCTCGCGATAGAAGCTTGGTGAGTTCCTGTCATGTGCCTGACACACCTCTGCCTTTTAATCCCGTCGTTTTCCGGCCTTGTTCGTGCCCGGTCTCAATTTGGCCAGGATAAGAGCAAACACCATGCGGGGAGAACATGTCGGAAAAGTCGGCACGACCCTTCTTCTCGTCGGGGGGTTCGTGGCCAAGGCGGGTGCCGCAGGCTCGTTTGATCCGATGGTTCACATGATGCGAAACTTGTTCACCACCACCTACACCGATGGAGATGCCTGTCCCGCGGAAGATGCAGCCTGCCTTGCGTCTACCAGTTGCTTGGCTTGCAACGAAGCCTACATCGCTGCTTTTTCAGGTTGCGCTGCTTCGTTGACCAGCACCTCCACGTGCGATGACCTTGTCGACGCCATGTGCTGTGCCGTGGAAGGCTGCGAGGACAACGAGGAATTTGCCGACATCATGGGTACGTGCACGACGATTTTGACAACAACTGCGTGTTATTGGTAGATAAACACGCAGCATTGGTTTCAAGCCGTATCGCCATATCGCTATTTTCTCGGGTTTTCTGTGTAATTGTTCCAGTGACGAATGCGTGGTGTATTAACGGTTTCGTGTTCTTCAGCAATGGGTCCCGACGCACGTACCGTGCTCAATTGATGGACCTTTACGAGGTTACTCGTGCGGTTCACCCCTCTCACGTTTGACGTTTCTCCCCTGCTTGGTATTTCGTCGGGCAGGCTGCATAAATGCGGACATTGGTTGCGGATACATCGACCTCGGTGATTGCAGCACGGCTATTTCCGGCTCCGACACCACTACGGACTCCACATCCACAACCGAGACAGACTGCCCCACCGAAATCTCGGCGTGTAACGCGGATGACGAGTGCGTAACATGCACCCAGTCGTATGTTGACGCCGTGGAGGGATGCTTTGCTTCAGCGACTGGTTCCACGTGCGACGATGTTGAAGAATCTGTTTGCTGTGCGGTGGATGGCTGTGAGGACAACGAAGCGCTCAATGATCTCTTAGGTGCGTTCCTGGTTGGTTGACTTGTGTCTGCAGAAATCTCTGGGAGTGTTGGAATTTACGGCATTATGCCAGGGGCGTGATAGGGTCGAAACCTCGACCTGTTCACGTGATCGTGACATTGTATTGCGACCGGCGGCCGGCATAGACCGAGGTGGGCCAGAAATGGATGCTGACCCCCCGTAGCAGTACAGGTGTTGCTCATGTCTCGGTATCTCTACAACTGTTGCGCGAACACCGTGATGTTTTGACTGATTGTATGACGAATGCCGTTTTGCTCCTTCGCAACACCCGCTTTACGTGCCCACCGGTCAGTTTGCATCAATGCGGAATCTACATGTTCAATCGACATTGGAGATTGCGCAGAGGACGGCAGCAGGGGCATTTCAGACTCCGACACCACCACCGACACCGATGATGCCGTCATCGATACTACCACCGACTCTCCGTACACCTCGATGACGACGAGCGAGACTGACTGCCCCACCGAAATCTCGGCGTGTAACGCGGATGACGAGTGCGTAACATGCACCCAGTCGTATGTTGAGGCCGTGGACGGATGCTTTGCCGCCGTGACTGGTTCCACTTGCGACGATGTTGAAGAAGCTGTGTGCTGTGCGGTGGATGGCTGCGAGGACAACGAAGCGCTCAGCGATCTCTTAAGTACGTTCCTGGTTGGTTACCTTATGCCCCGCAGATTTTGTGGGAGTGTACCGAGATTGGCGCCGTATATCAGAGACTTGATAGGATCGAAAACTCAAGCGTCTGCACATGATTGCTACATTGTTATGCGGCAGGCGGGCGACCTTATACCAGTCGTAGCTCCCTGTAGCACGGCCGGCGTTGCTCGTGTGCAGCTGTTTCTACAACCGTAGCGCGAACACCGTGACGTTGTGACTGTTCGTACGACGAAGCTCATTGTGCCCCCCCTAAAAACCACTTGATTCTCGCGCTACTTGTCCGCCCCGTCAGCTTGCATCAATGAGGATTCTACATGCCAAGTCGATATTGAAGATTGCGCAGCGGACGGAAGCAGGGATATTTCCGGCTCCGACACCACCACCGACACCGATCCCGCCATTTTCCCGTCGACACCGACAACCACGACTTCCACAACCGACACCGACACTACCACCCCCGGGGGGACCGAGACCACCTCGATGACGACGAGCGAGACCGATTGCCCCACAGAGCTTGCGGCTTGCAGCGCAGATTCGGAGTGCATAGCATGCACGGAGTCGTATGTTGCAGCCGTGGAGGGATGCCTTGCCGCAGTGACTGGTTCCACCTGCGACGGTATCGAAGAAGCTGTGTGCTGTGCGGTGGATGGCTGCGAGGACAATGATGCGCTCAATGATCTCTTAGGTGCGTTCCTCGTTGGTTCTTGTGTCTGCAGATTTGCTGGGAGTGTGTTGAGATTGACCGCGTAATGGGCGTGGTAGGATGGAAACCTGTGAAGGTGTTTGTGGCATTGTAATGCGGCGGGCGACCTATAGTCTATGTGTCAGAAATTGATACCCAGCCGTAGCTACCCGTTGCAGCACGGCCGGCGCTACTGAGGTGTTGTTGTGTCTGCCGCCGTAGCACTAACACCGTGATGTTGTGACTGTTCGTTCGGCAAAACCTCATTGTGTTCCCTCGCACAACACATGGTTCTCGCGCTGCTTGCCCACCGGTCAGGTTGCCTCAATGCCGATACATGCCCCATCGACATTGGAGATTGCGACAGTAGCGTAGCCATTTCTGACGAAGAGGGGGAAGCGGACGCAGGTAACACCGAGTCATCCGCCACCCCTTCCGCTGTGGCAATGGGAGGTTCCACGGCAGTTTGGCTGATCGCCGCCGTTGCACCCATCCTGTGGCGCCAGTTCCAGTAATCAAGCCTACCGCGTTCTCCAGCGTGGCGGGACTCTTCGCCAAACACAAAAATACATATTCATGTATCAAGTTTTCTGCAGTCTCTCTACGTGTGCTGCTGGTAGACGGTTGAACCAAAGCTTTCCAGTAGAACCTTTGAGTGCGTGCGTGTACCACTTGACGCTGTTGGCAGGCGGAAAGTTGTGAAGATAGAGAACTTGTGCGCGCTGCGTCTATCGGCGGATACTGTACAAGTACTCAGCATCGGCGTGCTGGACCGGGAGACAGCAGTGCACTTGTCGCGGCCTTTTGGGACGCCGGAAGACAGTTGAGAGTTGTTTACGCCGTCGTCTAGACCGTAATGAACTAGCGCTTCTTCGTGTACGTTTGGTGGCGCCATGTAGTACAAGATTCGGACTCATATGCTCGTACCTGCGCGCATTTCGTGAAAGCAACAACAGTTGGGCGACTCCTTCCACCAACTTCGGTACAATTCATTGTTTTTTACATTCCCTGTGGGGCTTAGGTGATGACGTGGGGGGTTGGAGGGCATGGGTAATAAACCATTTTTGCGAGGATGAGTACAAAGTGTAGATCGTGCATGTTGTAAATTCGCCACTACTTCCTGGTATCGTTGTCTACCCGTACGTAGTCTACAATGACAGGCCTGTTTTCGATTGAAAGAAGCTTAGAAATGCGCGATGCGTACGCACACAAGTGCGTGAAGGGTGATGGAAGGGCCGGACCTACATAACGAACCCTCTGGGGTTCTAAAGTTGCACAAATTAATTGATGTTGTGAAAACAGACTGGCGAGCGCTGCGGGGCAGTCAAAGGAACGGATGGGAAAGAGTACGTTGGGGCATGTCCCTCGCATCAGCTTTTTTACGGCCGGCAGAAAAGGGTTAATCATAAGAATTAGCTAAACCCATTTGTGTGGCACACGGTGGGACGGTGACTGTTTTCACAGCACAGGCTGTCGATGAGGAGATCGATGCCAAGTGTTGTGTGCCACGGAGAACACGTGGTGTTTCAAAGCTTTTAGCAGTTGCTGAGCTCGATGCAGGGGGTAGTTGGTGTAGAACGTTAACGTCATTAGCGAACCAGACTCGTCCTGACATAGAGCAGATGTATCCTCAACGCGGTCCGTGCCGAGGCGAGGTGTTCGCATGCATGCGCCGAAGGCGGCTTTGCATGTCTATTCGCTCACGAGCAGTTTCGCAATGCTTATCAGAGGGACACGTTAGGATGAGACCCCCTTGCGAATTTCATGTTTCGCCACCAACGTCACGTACCGAGTGGCGGTCTGTTTTTCGGGCGGTATCGATGTTTGCTGGTGCGTATGGGATGTATTACGTGTAGGACGAAAAGACCGTCATCCTCGACGGAAGCGGAGGAAAGGGTACACCGTTTTTTGCAGTGCCTCCTACGGGATAGTATTTGACATCAGCAGTTGTTAAGGTTTTTCGCAGAACGCGATTTAGTGAGAGAGATCAAGAGATTCGTAGAGCATCATTCTATTGAGCATTTGGGTTGGGTTGAACAATGGACGGTGGTTTGGGGGATTGATTCTTGCAGCTTTTCCTCGCAGTTGTGACGAGAGTTGTGTAGATCGTACCTCGGAACGAGCAGGGGCGCTGCTTGAGGGAACTCGGCAAGGTACTGGATCATGACGTAGATGGTATTGGTTTGGTGGACATGACGCGCGAGGTCCTTCCTGCCTCTCCCAGGTGTCTCTCTTGTTATTTTGCTCTCTTTAGATATGCAGAAAAAAAGGCCAAGCTATTTTCTCGTTTGACCGCTGACGAAGCCAAGCACCAAGGTGCACATTTCTCCGGGTGTGGGTGATTGTGCCCAAGTCTTTAAACATCGGCCAAGGGTTTGCCGCAAGGCGCATCTTGCCATGGAGGTTTTTTTTTTTGTGTTATTCTTTGCTTTCGATCGGGCAAATGTTGTGCGCCATAATTACAGCGTGATTTGCAGTCATACGAGTTTGGAATTCTACGTGCAGCAAACAGTTTCTCTCCCAAATGCCCACTTGATGAGTTCATGAGGAGATCTCTGATTCTCCCGGAAACAGGATTAATATAAAGTGTTCAGCTGTTGCGAAGTAGTACAAAAGTGTGCGCCAAACGGTTCCTCTTGAGATTCTGTATGCACAGGTACGTTTTTTTGTTCGCCAAGTATCACACTCAATTTTCGAGATATTCCAAAACGTGAACAAAAACCAAGGGTGCGCGAAAAAAACGTTTCCCGAACCGAGGACCCTGCTCTTAGTTTTGGAGGTTTTCGGGAGTCTTTTCCCTGAAGATAAATCACAGGGGCCCGCGGGGGGGACCAGGTTCGTTCGCTTCCGGGTGCCCGCCCTGCGCGCGAGCAAGGATCCAATCTTGTGAGAACCCCCAAGCCATGATCGCAACCGGGTACGGAGCGCATCACCGGCACCAACCAGCTCAAAGTGTGCGTGAAATGCCTCCAAAAATAGCAAACGATGTGCCCTCGGCATGCAGCTTGCGTGCCGTGGGCTCTTAACCTCAAGAAAAGCCAACGGTCAATGACAAAACATACGGGGATGGGGGCGGAGGGTGTCTAACTAAGTGTACAGAGCAGAAGATATTCTTCCTTCTCGTTCACCCCTATCTAAAGGGATCACACACACACGCTGTAATCATTTGTTATTCGATTAACTCTTGTGGGACAACAGTGCTACCGGTGCCGTGTTCTTAGGTAAATTGAACAGAATGAGGGCGTCCCTGGAAACGGTATGTGCCCTGATCCTTCAGTCGGGAGTTACTCCTCCCACCTTCTCTATGGGTATAGTAACCCGCAAACGACCTTTCCTACAGTCAAATCCCGTCACACTTGCCCACCCTGGGAGGTTCTGACACGCAGATACTTACGCTATATCTCGAATCTTGATGTTCAATTTTCGAAGTGCGGTAGGTGCGATCGTTACGCCCACCCATCCCTCCCTCCCGCTCGTGACGACTACTGGTTCGAAGCGGGAGCCTTCCGGCAATCTTTGCCTAGAAGCACATCATGGTGCATGACACCGTCAGGAACAAACTACTCATGTATGGCCCAACAGCAAGAGAACAAGTATGCACAGGTAGATCCCTACGGTGAAACGGACAATAGTTGATGCTGAAGGGGGGCAGATTCCCCGAAGTAGCCCCAATAACGGGTTGCGTTTGTTTCTCAGACAACGAAGAACCAGACGAAGCAGCTTTCATGACCTCCCACTTGCGAGCACTAACGAAAGACTGCGGGCTACCTGTGTACAAATGTGCAACACATCCACACTGGACAGGGGCAGAACCACTACCGTGGGGCAGGATAGAATCTTCATCGATTGTAACAGCACCTTGACCAAATCCGGTCCTTTCTCGGGGAGCGGAGGCGATGGTTGTGAGGTGCACCCAGAACGCACCCGCCAAACGGCGGTGACATGGTCGCGGACGGAACGCTACAAAACGGCGTCTTGCAAACACGACGTGAATGAATCGTGCGGTCGACGGAGGTATCGAAGCCGCCTGAAACAAACTACGCTGATGCGTGGAGGAATCAACAGGTTCGTATACAGCACCACGAGGAGACGAAGACGGGGGCCTACTCGCCAGAAGGCAGCAACGGCCAAACATCTTGTGAGTGGCGCGGTCGGACGCTCTGACGATGCACCGTGAAGGAAGCGTGGTCGTCTCCGAAAAGACGAGTTTTCCTTGACGAAAAACTGCTCAGGGCACAAACAAACAACAGCGTTAACCATGAAAATCGACGCGGTCCATTGGGTAGGTGCGCCTTTGCTGGAGTAGGTGCGCTTTTGCTGGAGATCCTGTCATCTTTCTGTGCTACTCTTTATCGAGCGAATTTTGTGAAAACGTTGAGCATTTCACCCGAGCACGGCTAGCTTAATAGGGTACGGGCCCGGAGATGAGAAAGGTCAAAATCGGGTGGAGGCTCAACCCCTGATTTTGGGTCGAAGGACCAGCCGAAGTCGGCTTTTTCTTAAGAGGTATCTTATTCCTTTGGACTGCTGTCGCATCCTCCTGATTCCCTTACTCCATATTTTCTTATTTCTGGCTAAGAATATACAGTAACAACAACCCAAAACACACCAAACATTCATGCAGCAGTGGGTAAAGCAGCCCACGAAGGTGCGGAGTAGCTACCAGCGCGGAGGTGGGAGGGCCCGCGACAATTCTAATCACTCTCCCACGAAAAAAAAAATACTATTATTCAGCTAGGTACGGGGCAATCATACACACTATCGTGTTTAGTGCCCATGGGTACCCATGGGTACCCACGGCCACCCACGGCCCACGTAATGGCTTTCACCACCACGGGGATCACAACGGGTACCAAGATTAAGCGTACTCTATAACATCGATTAGGCGGGGTCGACGAAGGCGCGGCCGCAGCGAGGTGGTACACCCAAGGTTCCGTGGGAGGCTCACAGCACAGCAGTTAGTGAGTCCAGCATTATTCCAGCTCGGCGCAAGAATGTAAAGAAAGAAAGGAAGGTATCCAAAGCTGAATGAAAACAACTGAACTGGCTTGGTGTGGGCGCGGAGGAAAGCGCGTCAGTGTGGCCTCACCCAGATCCACGGCGCTAGGCTCACCCAGATCCACGGCGCGACGCTGAGGGCGTTGTCGCATCTCCCGTGTTTCGTACAGTGCACGCGCACGCCGAGGCATTGGGCAGGTCTCTTCATCATACTTACTTGTTGCAGATTTAAACGGTACGGTGGGTTTAGTTGTTTTCAAAGCTCCAAGACGTGTCGTCTTTCCTTAGTCGGAGCGAATAGGTCCCGTGGTGATCATCATGAATACCCGTCGGCACCCGTAGGGTGCTACACCACCGATACCAATGGATCGCTACCCACGGTTAACACCACGGGTGCCTGTGGCTACCCACGGTGACGACCATGGGCTAGCATTAGGCATCAGTTTGGGTGCCCATGGGTCACCATGTGTGTGGCCATGAGTCACCATGGGTACCCACGGGCAATACCCATGGGTAC